CTTGGGTTGATTCTATTTGGGGTCCTCTGTATTTCTTGGGACTGGATCTTTGAATGCCTCTCTAGGTTTGGAAAGTTTTCTTGCAGGATTTCATGGAATAGATTATCAATGCCTTTATGGGTCTCTTCACCTTCTGGAATGCCAATTATCCAGACGTTTGGATGTTTGATGGTATTTAGTACTTCTCGTATATTATTCTCAGCCCCAGTGGATGCTTATCTCAGTTAACCCCTCAGGAACATCAGCACTATTAACTCTTTCCTCCTTCCTGAAACATCTGCTCCTTTGGCTTAAGAGATGAAACTTTCTAACTCTCCTGCCTCTGTTATTTCTTGAGGGCTCTGAGCACCTCTCCTTCTAGCCGTTGTGTAGTAGGAGTAGGCTAGGCTGTGCTGAAGTAACAGCTTCTCCTCGACCCAGTTTTCCTCATACTATATGTCCAAGGGGAGTCCGAGGGGACTGCTCATCCTGGTTGCTCAGAGCCAGGCTGACAGACCTTCACCTCCACATCTGCTCCCATTATCATCCCAGCAGAGTGAAAAGAACCTAATAAATCATTCACTGGCTCTCAGTGGTCCCTCCTGCAAAGATACCGCCCTCATGCCACTTCTCACATTTCATCATCCAGAGTAAATCACATGGCTGCATCTAACTTCAAGTGGGTCAAAATCCTTGGCAGAAACTATTTAATAAATATCTGTTAAGTAAAAAAAAACCACTTTTACAAGAGATACTTAGCGAGTACCTACCATGTTTCAGGAACTATGCTAGACACTGGTAAGAGGAGCTTCCAGCTCCTGAAAAGTTTACAAGTTTCCACATCTAGAGGGCCAGGGTACTTTCCAGGGAGAGAGAAAGCACCTGCCAGTGGAGCGTGGTCATGCCACAGCCTTTCCTCCCCATTTCTCCATCCCACCAGGATTTTGAGCATGTATGCACACATGCATGTTTTGCAAGTGACCAGGGCTAGGACCTGAATCATGATCAGCCATAGGGGATCTTTCTCTCTATATACAGCACTTAACTCTGCACTGTGGGGTTGGCCAGACAAAACCAATTTTTTTTTGAGAGGTTTTTT